GCACACGAAGACAAAACCAGCCTAAAATTCTATAAGTTCTGCATCCAGGCATTAACCTGGAACATAACTACAACACAGACCAAAATCCAGGTCATTTTTGTTTTGTTTTTTAGATACTGCGGGATTAAGCCCAGGGCCTTCATACTAAGCCACAGCCAAAATTCTTGTATATCTTTTATTTTGAGACAGTGGCTCACTAAGTTGTCCAGGCTGGACTCAAACATGTGATTGTCCTGCCTCAGCCTCGGAGTACTGGGCTGGCAGATGTCACCACAAGAATTAGGTTTTTGGGCTGGCGAGACAGCTCAGCAGACTAAGTGCCTACTTAGCCAAGTGCAGGCACCAGGGTTCAGTCCCTGGCTACATGCCGCACAGAGCCAGCACGAAGTCCAGGTGTGGTGGTGCACGCCTGTAATCCCAGCACTGGGGAGGCTGAGAACAGGAGGATCACTACAAGTCTGAGCTGCGTAGTGAGACCCTGTACCAAATATGTAAAAAATGTTTTTTAATTAACAAACAAACAAAAAAAAAGAATTATGTTTCTATATGAGCAAACAAAGAGCCTGTACTTCTTGGAGAGGAAGGAGTGGGGTATTTCTGGGCAACTGAACACTGTTTATGTTTAGTAGTTGGAAACTGCTTGTACAGTAAATCTAACTACCCAGAACGCATGCTTTGAGAATTTTAAGCTCCATTCTATAAATAGGCCATTTTTTTCCAAAAGGGGTTGTGGTGGTGGGGAATATATGTATGTAAAGAAAGTGTAATAAGACTGAAATTCTTAGCAACAAACAAAATAACTATGAAGAACTAAAGAGCAGGACTATCCTGAAGACAACATGTCCGGTAGGTGTGTGCCAGTCAGAACCCAGGGAAAGAACTCAGGAGGACAGCAAGGCACCAGCAGGTACAGGTGGGGTCCAGGGGTGGGGAAAGGGGGCTGCAGCTTTCTCATGCACTGCTACAGCCCCAGGTCTGGAGTCATGCCTGGCAGCAGGCAGACACCACACACTGGCTTGAGATGGTCTGATGATGAGACAGATGGTGTCTCTGCAATTCATGCAGCGAGAGCCTTCACTAAGGGCGAGCTGAATTCGGCACTGTGTGAACTTGGGCCCTGTGGATGAGTACCTGTGCACGAGAGCACCAAACCTAAAAATAACAGAGCAATGGCAGGGGGTCTGACTCCCAAGCTGCGCTCCTCGGCACCGCGCCGGCTGCCTGCCAAGGGCCTGCAAGAGTGACAGTGCTCAGGGAGCAAGTTAACTTCATAAGACACTGGCAACGGACAATTCCCTAACAACAATGACTAAAGTTTCTGATAAACAAGGCCAAAGGAAACCTAATCAGTGGAAACGAGACCAGCAAACAGTGTTTAATGGCATATATGCAAAATAACTCAATACGCTTCAAAATACCATGCCTGGAAAACTAAATGGGCCTCAGGGAAGCAGCCTGGGTCCATTAATTGCATTCTCACAGAAGTGTATCTGATGAAAAACAGACACAAGCACTGACTAATAATGATGTGGCTCAAACTAGGTCAGATCCATGAAACAGCCAGCTGGCCTTCCACACTGATCAGACTGGGTTTAATGATACACGATGACTAATCAGGATCCTTAGCTGGAAAAAGGCACAAGCTCTGGAAATAAGATAATCTTGTGGAAGTTTGCTCTCCTCCTGGGAGTTCCTACGACTCATCTTTCCACCTGAAGGCTCCACAGTTTTGACTTAATGCAACTAGGGCTGAGAGGGTAGCTTGTGGGTAGAGTGTGTGCTTAGCATGCAGGAGGCCTCAGGCTTGACCACCAGGACGAAAGGGAACAGAGAAGGAGATAAGAGTCCTAGTATACCTCCCATGTCAAGTCAGCTAGGAAAGAGCTGGGATAAAAAAGCCATAGCCCTTACACAATGTAGTGGCTGCTCTTCCACCTGAACTTACATAGACCATCAGCTCTGCTGATCTCCTGCAGTTCCCTCTCTGAAGAAGCCTTGGGTCCATCTGTCTGTCAGAAGGGTAAGAACAAGGCTACATGGGATGTCCCCTCACAGAAAGGTGGCCATGCTCCCAGGAAGAGCACTTGAAACGGAAAGCTTCTTTGGAGGTCTCTTTCCTGGGCTCATCCCTTACCCCCTACCTGGTGGGACCCTTCTGTAAGTACCACTCACAGCTGTGGTCACCGGAATTAACGAGCTACTTGTGTAGCCCACGGGTGTCTCTCCACGAGACATAGTCTCTGCCCTTTCCACCAATGCAAATGAGGCCCAGGCTGTGGCACAGGGCAGGCCACTCCTATGGGCTAAGCCAGCGCATCAGTGGGCCCTCTGGAAGCCAAAGAGCTCTCTGGAAGCCAAAGAGCTCACAATAGGGCACATAATCAGCTAAAAATGTTTCTTTAGCAACGCACATACCTCCATCCTCTGTGCCTGCAAATAGCTTCTGGGAGCTCTGCTCTGCATAGAAGCAAGTAGAGCACAAAGACAGAGAACACTCACAGGCGGAGGCTTCTTCCTCATCTCAAAAGTGCGCGTGGCGCCGAAGCTGAGCGAGGCGATGACGGGCCACCTCCCAAGCGCGGGCTCGTCGTCGCTGTGCCAGTCCACACTGTCCTTCTCGTTGCGGTAGAGATTGCAGAGTAAGGAGTTGAAGGTGTAGCCAGTGTTCTCCTCGATGCGGCACTTCAGGGTGTGCAGCACAGGGTGCCACTGCAGTCCACGGGCCAGGAACGGCAGAGACAGCCACGAGGGGCCAGAGTGGTGGCCACACGGGAGCAGAAAGGAAAGGCAACACCAGTGAAGTTATAAAGGGGGCGCGGAATAAGCAAATCACTTAGAATGCAATGAACAGAAGGCAGAAAGAGCATTCCCGCCCATCCTTTGTGTTCGGAAGCCATCAACCACTGTCGCTCTATGAGAGAACTCCATCCGGCAGATGGATACCAGAGGACCACAGTCTGCCTCCCCATCTCATCTTTTTCCTGTAAACACGTGGCTCTCACCTACAGGACGTTAGTACATCCAGGGCAGACACCCTGGGCAGTTCCCAAGGTGGCAAGCGGAGCAGGGAAGCTGCTAGGTGGCTTCATGTGGTAATGGGCAGAACGGAGTCTACAAGAACTTTCCTGCTAGTTAGTGCCCCTCCATTCAAGTCCTACTCTGAACTTCACGGGTAGCTGCTTTTTTTCTGAGGTGCTGGGAACAGACTTCAGGGCTTCCCACATGCTGGGCAAGGGCTCTACCACTGAGCTATGCCCTCAGCCCCATAGAATTGCTTTGGTAAAAAGATTTGACCCTTTGAGTGGCCAACTCCCTAGACAGAACCTGCAGGGAAAAGATAGTCTTTCTCAACAAATGTCCTCAACAACATAAAGCATGTAAACTACAGCAGACTTCAAACCTACAGCCCATGTGCTGAGCACCCCACTTACTGAAGTAGTCTGTGGTCGGAAATGCCTGGCCATGTGGACAGCAGGAAGCTGTGACCTCTGACCTCTGACCTCTGGTTGTACCTGGGAGCTACAATCAGCACAGCTTGTTTTGTTCTTGCAAGAATTCTGTCTTACTAGAGCTCCTCTAAGCACTTTGCAAACACTCTAGGACAGTCATGATCCAGCTTTACACAACTAAAATTACAGAGGACCTCCAAGGACTTTTGTGGACTTCCACATTAAAAATTAAGACTAGAAAATGTTAACTATTGGTTAACTCATTTAAAATTCAATAAGAAATCTACTATATGTTAACATAAATGTTCCTTTTAGAAAAATAACTTTTAGTATAAAAAGTTGATGGAAAAAGCAGTGTTTCATAAATCTTTTAAACACCTCACTTGAGAGCTGATTTTTATATCTACTGCATTCAGGCTGTTTAAAAAAATGTTTTTGTTGAAGTATCTGAAAACAATTTTATAATCAGTAACAAATCCCATTCACCATTTTCCTTGCAGTGATACAACTCCATGTATGACAGCATGTACCCAAGACTCAGGTCTGAGTAATCAATCTGCCTGCTTTTTCCTAAGCAAAAAGTGGCTGGCCTAGCTGTGAGTGTGAACAGCCAGCACGGTGTGCAGCAGAGACGTGTTGTACACACTTTCAATTCCACTAAACAAACTATTAAGAAGATGTGTACTCAAAGGGAAAGATTTAGTAAAACACATAATGCTTACTGCTTTATCAGGGGACATTCCAAGTGAAATCAGCATTTTTTTTTAAAACTGGAAGTGCATGGTGATGGAGCACACTGACTGCTAGTTCGGACTGGTGACAGCGCCTTCGCTCATGCTAAGATGCGGCCAGTCCTAGCCATTTGCATCTCTGCACCATCAGAGCAAATATGACAGTGAAAATGTCACCTAGTCAGTACGCACATGCGCACGCGCACACACACACACACACACCCGGGCTCCACACGGTGCGTACTCAGAATCGGTACTTTCGGGAACTCCTCAAACGCCTATGTTCTGCGTTTCATAGTGGGGCGAGGACGGGCAGCGAAGGAAAGCTTAGTATTTTCCAGCACAGGTAAAGAACTCCAGGGAAGCGCACGCGAGCATCGCTCACCGCGGCTAGGGCAGAGCCCGCCCATGAAGAGCAGCGCTACCTCCCAAGCAGATTTTTAAAAATAAACAAGGGGAACAAACATAGCTTAGATCAATAAAACAAAAACGTTAGTAAAGTAACCTATGTCCAAGAGAACCATTCCAAAATGAAACTCCAACGACAATGGCAGCAGGCTGCATTTCCCATTTATTCTACAGCTTTCAGTGTTCCTTCATGGACCTTGAGATCCAACGAGACTCACACACTCAACGCGGATGTCAAGGAGGAAGGTGGCTTCTCTTCCATGTGCCTGAGAATCTAATTAGGGCTTCCCTGACTTGCTGAGGCTGAGCACTGTGACAACATCAAGTTTGCATTCTAAGTGGGTATTTTTTTTCTTAGTTATTTTTGGTAGTGAACCGGAGAAAAGAAGAAAAAAGGGGATAATGAACTAGAGGATTAATTTAGACTCTCTAACCAATACTCTATATAGATCCTTCAGAACTGAAGGTCTAAATTAAAAGCCAGCGTCATCTCTGTTCAGTGAGATATTCTATCCTTAAAAGACATTTAAGGAAGACTATGAGAAAATATCAAACACCAAAGTCAAACATCCCAAAGAAGTTTCTAGAGCTTGGGTACTACCAAGGCCTACTACAGGAAAAAGGGGAGGTCACTCTGGTGGCACTTGCAGCTAGTCAAGGATGTGATCTACTTCATACCTTTATATGCTGAGTTCATATGGCATATAATGGGTTTTTTTAAATGTATTTAGCACAGGGTCTACAGGGTCTCACTACGTAGACAGGACTCACAGTGATCCTTCTGTTTTCAGCCTCCCAAGCACTGGGATAACAGGTGCGTGCCACCACGCCATCTCAATTGCCAGCTCAGTGTGCCCCGGGGGCGGGGGCAGCACAGTACGCCAGGGGTTGAACCTGAGTCCTTGCGTTTGCCTAAGCAGGAGCTTTAGTCCGCTGAGCTATCTGGCTAGCCCGGAGGTAGAATTTTAACAAAGACTGAAATGAAACATGTTTTAAAAAATCTATCATTGAGCCTGGTTCTGGTCTATGGGATATTAAGCTTAAGGCAGTAGATTCCGGCTTTGTTTTTATTCAAGGGCCTCCTGGCTGACCTACATCCCCAGTCCCTTTCACTTATTTTGAGGCAGGTTTTACTAAATCACGAAGCTGTCAGCGTTGGCTCAAACCCGTGATTCTCCGGTCTCTGCCTCCTGAGCAGCTAGGGTTACCTGCACACCATCTTGCTTAGCATAACAATTTCAAATTTAAACAACTACTCCCAACATACATGCACACATATTAATAAATCTTCCCCTTAAAAAATCTTTATTTGGTTGATGAGAGTATATAAATGAACTAATCTATCAGCAGCAAACACCAACTCCAAATTAAAGAATTCTAATTTGAAAAATTTAATATTCACCAAAAAGTGCTTGCTTGAATAAACTGTGATATATGTACATTATGGGGTACTAAACAACTACTGTAATACTGTACAAGAATATTTCATAATACTAAAGTGTGATAAAGATATGCAGTTAAACCAAACATACTAGCCATGATTTTCTTTTTATAGAAAAAAACCTTTGCCTAAACTAAAAATGATCAGAACTAAAATATCAGGTGGAAGAATTACCCAAAATATTAATATTTTTATATTTATTTGAAGTTTCTACATTTCTAATATGTATGTATTACTGAAAAATAGCATATTATAAAAAATTCTTACCAAGTAGGGTCACACACACCTATAAATCCAGACTTTGGGAAGCTGAGGCAGAAGGATCATAAGTTCAAGCCCAGCCTGGGTAACTTAAGGACTTAGCAAGACCCTATCTTGAAGCTCAGTGGATTAAAGTGCCTGCTTAGGCAGACACAGGGACCAGGGTTCAATTCCTGGTACCCAATGCTGCTCCAGCCCACCCCTGGGCACACTGAGCCTGCAACCAAGTCTGGGCATGGTGGTGTATGCCCGTAGTCGCAGTGCGGGAGAGGCTGAAAACAGGAGGATCACTAGGAGTCCTAGCTGTGTAGTGAGAGCCTGTACAAAAAAAAAAAAAGACCTTATCTTGAACTAAAACAAAAAGGGCTGAGGATATAGCTTGTTATGAAGGGCCTGGGTTCAATCCCCAAAACTGCACCAATAACAACAACAGGAAAAGATTCTTTTGAAGAACAGTCACATGTCCCCAAAATGCAACACAACAGGAAGGCACTTGGCTCAGCAAATTCTGTGACTTTCATTTACTGTCAAATGATGGCTCTTACCCAGGGGCAACCATGCCCTCGGCAGACAAGTGGCGACCTCCACAGTCATCTTTGGCTGCTGCAGCCGTGAAAGAAGCTGCTGGCTTCCAGCTCTGGTGTGTAGATTCTATGGAAGCACTAAGAGTCCCACAGCACACAGGACGGCCCGACAGAGCTACCCAGCCCCAAATGTCAACTGTGCCGAGGGAGAGGAACGTTCTGGGAGATGAACTAGAACGAACAGAGCAGAACTTGTTTCCTGCAGCCTATTTACTCCTTGTCTCCCTGCTAGAACTGTGGACAAGAAGGCAAATTAAATCTGACAGGAACAAGGCAGTGGTCTTCCCTGAACTGGCTGAGTGCAAGTCTGTTTCCAAGTCAACCTCCAACACTACAGGTCTCGGTACTTCCCTAAATGCAGCACTAGAAACCAAAGCATTTGTCCTTACGTGAAAAAGCCAAGTGCGTGCAGGCAATGCTTTATCCCTGTGCATTTCAGTAAAGAGGTAGTTTGTGCTCCTATTACTAGAAGCTCTAAAACGTGTCCCATTTCTGTTTATCTCAATGCCCTAAGAGACCATTTTCTTCAGTCTCTTTCCAAAAAGCATGGCATTATCTGCCAAAGGCAAGTTTCCAGGAACTATCCAGGGAGCTATTGCTTGGACCTCAACTCCATTCCTTGGACAAGCTTCATTTGAACACTAAAATATACTCGTCTACTGTCATGGAAATTTTTAAAAACAAAAGAAACCGAAGAAACAAACCAAGTGGTAAATTCTCCAGTCTGAGACATGTAGCCATAAAATGAATACAAAATTAAGACAGGAATAAAAAAAGCCAGATGGGTGGGGCAAGTAGTAAAAGAGCCTGAAAGATAGAAGAAGACTTTCTGTGGCTTCTGGGACCAGGCAGCCACAAGGCTGTCGCCACATAGCAGATAACTGAGTACCTGGGTGTGTACCCGGGTCGGGACAGAGAAGCTGGGGAACAAAAGTATCAGAAGCAAAGTCATGTTCCCAACACCTGGACTCTGTGTTCATCTGTGTATCAAAGACATGAAGGACGGCAAGCGCAAAACCTCGACGCTTGCACCCAGAGGACAGTGTTGAACCAGGAGCCGTCAGGTACCCCCCGCCGGGTCCTGCTGGTAGCTTACAGTATCTTACATGCTTTCATCTCTAACCCGCGCCAAAGGGCAGTATTCCAACATACGTGAGGGTTTGGCTCCATAGTGACTCTGGAATAAGTGTAAGGAAGTGCTCCATACCATGCTGTAAGTCTTGGCTGCAGGTAAGTTATATCTAAGAAAGAAAAACAAGGCTCTTGAGACAGTGTGGCGTTCTTTAAGATGTACCTACTAGGGCCCAACTTTGTGCCTTGCAATGCCAAGAAACCACGAGAAATTCAAGGGAAGAGGAGGGATGGGTGTTACTGTTTATATCTGAATATCCCCAAAACCTTCTGTGCTCAAAGGCAGGGCCTTGGAAAGGAGACCAGATTATGGGGTGTTACAGGTAAATGCCATGTTAACGTGATGTTAGGAGCTAGGGCCTGTTGGGAGGTGGCGGTCGCTGTGGCATGGCCTGGAAGATGTCTCCCAGGCTCCTCCCTTCAAGCCCTGTTTCCTGGGTGCTGCAGCAGGAACATCTCTCCTCTGCGTAGGCCCTTCCGCAATGCTGCCAACCATGCCAAAGCTCAGTCTTCTACAACATGACCCCAACTAATGTCTCCTGCTTAAGTGTCAGGATTATAGCTCAGCAACAAGGAAAGTGACCATGACAAGTACTCTGCCCCAAAGCTCCACCTGCAGAGAGAACGGCTGGCAGAATGGGTAAGGACCCTACAAAGGAAAGAAGTGGCCAAGAAAGCTTAGGCAAAGGCTCTGAAATGAGAATGCGTGTGACTTGTTGGTTTCATTTTTAAAAGTTTCAAAAAGCAGGATACGGCATGCAGGTCCCTGCAGGCAGGGATCTGCGAAGCCCACATCCCCACGCGGAACACGGCAGGCTCCACCAGCGCTGTAGAAGCCCTCCTGAGTCCAGGTGAAGGAAAAGCTGTTCTGACCACCTGTGGCATGCAGCTGGTTTAGTGCCATTCTTTGATCTCTAAACTTATTTAGAGAGGCAGTTACCTGCAGACCTACTACTTTTCCCCACAACCAGGTACAACAGGAACAATAATCAAAAGCAGAACTGAGGATGTAGCTCAGGGGTACAGCATGTCCTTAGCACATGTAAGGTCCTGAGTTCAAGACCCAGCACCAAAAAAAGAAAAGAAAAATTTAAAAAGCAGCTAACATTCACTGAAGTCTTGTTATGTTCTTGTCACGTGGGTAAGCACTTATCACAGAAAGAGGCTATTAGCTCAATTTTGCTTTATTTATTTATTTTCTGTATTTTAGGGAAGGGTCTACAGGGTGTTCAGGGTCTCACTACTAGATCGGACTTATAGTGATTCTCGTGTTTACAGCCTTCCAAGTGCTGGGATTATAGGCATGCACCACCATGCCCAGTCTCAATCTCAGTGCGCCTCCCCAGGAGCGGGGGGCGGGCAGCACTGGCACAAAAGGCCCAGGAATCAAACTCCCGGCCCCTGTGCCTGCTTGCAGGCACTTTAATCCGCTGAGCTATTTGGCCGGCCCTTCAATTTTGTTTTATTTATTTATTTATTATTATTATTATTACTTTTTTTTTTTTTTTTTTGCAGTACCAGGAATTGAACTCAAGACGTTGCACTTGCCAGGCAGGCGTTTATGCCACTGAGCTATCTCTCAGCCCTATTAACTCAAGTTTGAAGGAAAGGTAAAACCAAGGATTAGAGAGCTACTTAACTGTTAATGTGCTTAAAATTAATAATTACTTTGAATGAGAGAACATGCAAAAAACATTTTCAACTCTGGAAACTTTTGGGAGTTGGAAGGTTTCCCTGAAAAAGCTGATTTCTTTTCTGATGAGTGACAAAAATGAAGCCAATATATACTGCCCCTTTCTTTCTTTCTGTTTTTTTTTTTTTTAATATTTTCAGTGAGTTTTTAATATCATTCTCTTTCTTTCAGATTTTAGCCTTTTCCCTACATAACTTGCAAATAATATGAACATTTCTGTTTGAATCAGACCATTCTCAGTTTCTATAGCCTTTGAATTTTACAAATCCACAAGGAAAATAAACCTGAATGATGTATAGAAATCCATCCTCACTTCTTCTGGAAGAATAGTTTGGCATAAATATTTCATTGATAGCAAGGACACTGATTTTTTTGTTTTTTTTTATATACACAGTTGAACCCAGAGTGCTCTACCACAACTGAGACGCCCCTTTCTTTACAACAAAACGGGCCGAAAAGGAAATTCTATGCAAGAGCCCAGACGCCTCCCAGTGGCCACCTGTGGAATACCAGGCTCTGGGGCAGAGGAGGGCGCAGATGCCAATCAAGCCAGTAAATGTTTCACTTTAACAAGCTCAGGAGAGAAGAAGTGAAAACTAAAGAAGAGAAGACTCTTCTGGTGAAAGTAAAATCTGAACAAAAGTCTGCAAAAAGGACTGTAAAAGAATTTATGCCAAACAGCATCAGAAAAAAGCAAGCTCTGGAAGCTTCTAGAAGAAAGGGGGCAGCTGGCACCTCTGGCAGCGGCAGAGGCAATAGGTAAACATAAGCAAGGCGAGTCTGTCAACCACACTGCCGCCGCCCAGCCTCCTCTGGGCCCCCGAAGGTGAGACCTCTCCACTTGAGCAGGGCCTTTCGCTGGCCACTGCCACTACTGAAAAACGGTTTCTGCCCCTGTGCCTGGCTGCCCCTGCTCCTCCTCGGGGGCTCAGGGTTTGAATCAGGTAAGTCCAGTCGTGGTGACCGCCCACAGTGGTAACAGTAGGCGTTCTGAGGGAGGCCAGACAGCGAGCACTGCAGCCTCAGCAACTCCTTACCCCCTCTGATGCCCATCCTCTGTTTCCAGGGAACGTCCCGACACAGCTGTTCCAGCACCCAGTCAGCTTCCTTCGAGTCAACAAAGCCAGGATACAAACGCACCCTGATGCAGAAAGAAACACTGACTAAAGAACACAGAAAAGGTGGGTTACCCCAGTGGTGGTGGGTCTGTGGTGCATGTGTTGCACTGTGTTGTTTGTAGCACTGGAAGTGCTAAAAGGTTTCGCCTTCGCTGGTCAGACGCTAACCTTACCCAGCGGAGTATGTTCACCTGGGCCCTCCCCCAACGGGCCAAGAAAATCCTCCCCCAGCAACAGAACCCAACATTGTTCAGTTATGATGGCCTGGATGCAAAACAAAAGTCCTTTCACGTCAAGAAAGAGAGGCAATGACAGGTGGTGAGCAGTTTGGAGACTGCAGCTCAAATCTGACTTGAGGGTGCTGGTGGTACCAGGCATTACTACCAGGAATGTAAGGGACAGAAATCAGCGGCAGGGCTCAGCTGTGCAACAGGGGGCACGTTATTTATCTAGCCTGTAACCCAAAGACGATGCCCATCTCATGAGGTACTTGAAGAAATGAAAATCTTAACAACTGGTTGCCTTTGGATGCTATGCCAATTCTAGAGAAAGATCATTACAATGATGTTAAAACAAATGCATCCAAATGAGGGTTCTTCCCTCACTGCTTATTTCTTTTTTACAAACTTATTTTTATTCTAAATTTTTATTCATTTGTTTGTTTGGCACAGGTCTCCCTATGCAGCTCGGACTCATAGTGATCCCCGTTTCAGCCTCCTGTGCACCACCACACCCAGTTTCAGGGCCAATAGGACGCACCCAGGGTTCCAGGGTCCAGCAGGGCATGTGGTGCCAGAGATCGAACCCAGGTCCTTGCGCTTGCAGGCAGGCGCTTAGACCACGGAGCTATGGCCCCAGCCCATATGCTGCTCATTTCAACAATGCCAATTCAGCTCAAAGCCATTCTGGACGTCTTTCTGAAGATGTGCTCTGAAAACCCACTGGATATTCTCCTGGGTAGTCCTGGCACCAGCAAGTCCTCATGCTGAAGACATATCTGATTCTCTGAAAGAGCCGCATACCCCCGATGCCATACCCAGTAACAATGAGGTGTCCTCCAAACAGTGCCACTGGACTCGGAGGGCTGCTGACCTCACTTCAAAGGGAGGGCCCAAGAAGGGTTACGGCAATGGCAGCACCAGGGTCTTTACAAACCTTTACATGTACCGGAGGCGGGGGGGGGACCTAAGCAATAGGGTCACAAGTCTGAGCCCAGCCTGGGCAATTCAGTGGCTCAGTGAGACCCGCTTCAAGATAGAACACCACGACAAAAGTGTGTGGCGGCGGGAGATGAAGCTCAGCGCAAAGGCTCTGGGTTCAATCCCCCGAAAGACCTTATGGAGGCTTTGTTTTAAGCAACTGATTTGATGTGTAAGTTCTAATATAGTTGTTTTGAGTGTCTCATAACTTTATAGTGACAAATTAGTATACTCATGCATTAAGGTTTTGAAAATAACAGCTAATGCCTAATATATACTTGAGCTTCACTGAACGCTGTCCAAAGGCAGTGCTATACTACTATACAATCAATATACATGATAAAATGCAAAATAATAGTGTAATGCAGCACTCAGAGTAGAGCAGCGAAGGCTTGATCGACTGTAATATTAAGTTGCTGTGTTCGCCAGGATAAAGGACTTGATCTCTCTAAGCCTCAATTCCTCATCGGGGAAACTAGGGTCACACTATTATATCTGACACAGAGGCTATGGAAATTATATGATGCTAGAAAGAGATTAGCAGATTCTTACTCCATAAGAATTTAAAGGGAAGAAACCTCGTATTTTAAGTAAGAGAGCAGACTAACTTGATGGCAGTTACGGTCACCTTCTGCTGAGGATTCACTTACCTAGAGACGCCTGTAGGTAACAGGCTGATTTCATACACACCCTCCCTGCTAAAATAACAGAGGAGAGAGACTTGTTAGGATGAGACAAAGCAAGGCCCGCTCTCCTCCCAGGGGCCTGGCTCACTGACACCACTCCGCTGCGGAGGAGCCTGGTGAGGCAGGCCCAGCCCCACCTTCTACCGCTGACACAAGTGGAGTGGGAGGGCGCCATCATATGGCCACTGGGAGAAGAGCCCTGAGAGGCTCAGGCAGGGGGAAGGCAGTGGGAGTCGGTAAATTCTGGTTCTAACTCTTTACATTCTGCCAGTATTTTAGGTTGCTGTGATCCAGGAATTGATCACACAAGGGGTGTAAATTAGACAAAAGGTGCCTCGACGCTCCTGACCCTCGAGCTCAGCTCAGGGCTCCAAGCTTCCGTGGCTCTCAGGGGCACACGTCTAAGGAGAACCTTCTGCAGGGTCCTCCCAGGGCTCCACATAGCTGCCCTCTGGATCTAGCTCCCCCTCCTAAGGGCTCTCACAGACACACCCTGCTCCAGCAACATCAAGCGCTTGGGGTCTTCTCACTACTACCCCACACCTGCTGCAGTGCCTCCCACACCCAGCACCCCTCCCCAGTCCAGCCCAGCGCCAGCTCTGTGCGTGGGAATTCCATCCTGTCCTTCAAAGCCCTCACTTGACAGCACCCCAACCTCCTGACTTTTCAATCAAGTACTGTTACCCAACTCTTCCTATGTGCGCTAGAGGTCCAGGTCTACTATTTTATGATACACAAAATTACAACATTTGTCTACACATCTGTGGCATCTACTAGACTGCAGGCCCGCAGAGGGCAAGAGATGGGAGCTTGTTGTTTCTCAGAGCCTGCACACATCAGATGGAAAAGCAAATCTTACTCAAGTTCACCAAGGTGAAAAAGTACAAGTGACTGCAGGTAAGCGATGCATAAGGTCTGTGACGAGAAAACCAACACAGAGCGGGCAGGGACTTCTAGCCAGACAACTGTGTCTGACCCTCTCCCGGTGGGCTCTTAGGTAGACGTGTGAGGCCCTCTGGACCAAATGCATTGCACAAGTTATTATCTCACCTACTGTAAGTACCAGTTTCTACACGACTTCTCTCTGTGGTGTTCCAGAGAATGAATACATTTCAATACAGTGTATTTCAGCACACAGTTAGAAAACGGCTCACTTTAAAATGGAATGCATTTCTGGGTATTAAAAAAATCTAGCACAGTTAACTTTAGATAATCAAGCTTAACAAAGCCTGAGGAAAACAGCAATGGATTTTTGTCATTTGTCTCTTGATTTAGTAACTCCAAATTGCCCTTTCTTTCCCCATAGTATGAAAATCCCTCTGTAAAGGTTTTGTTATTCTCTTTATCACCAATAGAAGCATTATCACACAGGTATTTTTTAAATAATGAAATATTGTCAGAACTAGCCTGGACCTGAAGTGATTATAAAATTCAGATCCTTACTTTGAAGACAAGAATACTGAAATTCAGAGAAATAGAACTTTCCCAAGGACTAGCTATATAGCTAACTGGTGGCAAAGCCAAGACTAGACCTTCCTTTAAAAATATGCTTGTGTTAGCTTCAAATTCTTCTAATATATAATCCAACCTCCCCAAAAAGTCAAACAGAATAATGGATTGCTCATGAGAAAGATGATACATCTAATTTTCTAAAATAAAAGGACAGTTCTTAAAGACAATTTATTGATATCAGATGAAACTGAGGAGGAGGAATTTTTAAAATAGTAAAAGCAGCTCTCATAAATTTTGGATAAGAGCATTTTTGACACAGATCAATGTAAGAGGAGTATTTACTGTCCTTTAAATTGCTCTGGAACAGTCATGTAGTTTTAACAAATTGGCTGTGTGGTCACCTCAGTTGCCAGCAGCTGCAGTAAGCAGTGCTAGTGAAATGTACAAAGGCTTCACAGAGACCCAGGCCCCAGGGACTCGGGAACTCCCCTCTCACCAACTAAGGGATGTTTCAGCTTAGGTATCAGTGACAGGTGGCAGGAATGCATTTGTGTGCACCTGAGCAGCTCTCCTTGAAAGAAGAGCGACTGTCTCCATTCTGACTAAGCCTGACCCTATTTCCTCATATTGTTATGCACAGAGCTGGCTGGGACTCCTGTTTATCCTTCAGTTGGCCTTAGGCAATGTGCATTGGTCTAGCTCAGGTGCTGGTGATAGTCTTTGAAGGTGGCATGTATGTTTCCCTGGTAAACCTACACCTGCTGCTCTTTTATGCGAGCCGGGTTGAGACAGGATGGTAGAGCTAATGCTCCGTGGCGCTAGCTGGGATCGAGCCTCGAGACAGAGGCTGTGACTTCCTGGGGCTTGAAAGGCTACATCAAAGCTGAAACACCAGACTTACCAAAACATTAGATACTACATAATGCAGATTACTCTCTCTGCGTATCCTCTCTGCATATGGCAGAGGTAAATTTAGACCACCCACCTAGCTCAGCTCATAATATTCTCTTTCCCATAATTCTCAGTCAATCCTCAAGCCACTCCCCCACTGAATAAAACTGGGTGAGGCCCTGGGTCACTCTCTTGGTTCCGGAAAGCCAGCTTCGTGGCTGGACTTAGAGCCCCTTGACTGCCCGATGATTGAAGATACAATTTAGTGTCTTTATTTTCGCTGTGGGTTGCATTGAAAGTGGTAGATTGGAAACAACTTGATAGGATTCCAATAATGTAACTTTGGGATTACAAATATTGGCTTCTTGGATCGAGATGAAGATCTGGAAGTGTCCTTACATATTTGTATTAGTGTGATGTATTAATGTACTTGGTACAGGGTCTCACTACACAGCTTGGACTCATAGTAATCCTCCTGTTTTCAGCCTCCCCACCACTAGGATTACAGGCATGTGCCACCAAGCCCGGTTTCGGTGGCTGGCTCAGTGCACCTGGGGGTGGGGCCAGTGCAGCATGGGGTGATGGAGGATTGAACTTGGATCCCAGTGCTTGCCTAAGTGCACTTAGTAAGCTGAGCTATTTCACCTGCCCTCTGAGTCCAAATTTAATACACAGAAATCTTTTTCTATTTTTTCATACAATCAGCAAATTCAGAATTTCTCAAAAGCGCAAGCTTAAAGCAGAGCTTGGACTATCCCAGCTGAAATTAAGACACTTATTGGGCCAGGGTGAGGGAAAGAGCATGGGCAACAACAGCAGGAAGACAGCGGATCACTTACTCAATCACTCGAGGCTCTGGGGCTCTGCGCACCACCTGCAAGGGAACAGACAGATCTGAGTTCTAAAATGAGTCCTAACCATCAGGGGGAGCAGTTCGCTGTAAACGCTCTCATTTCTGGTCAAAATAAGTCAGATCTACAACTATTTCCTTTTTAGTCCAATCTCTCAACTACCCTTCTTTCTGTTCTTACAACAATACAATATGCCACACTTGCCAGCAGACAAAAAAGAAAATCAGCATGAATCCTACTGGCGAGCAGCTCTAGAAAAGCATTCTTACCATAAAGGAGATTTTTTTAATTGAAGATATAAAATAAAAGACTTTGGAGCTTTTTCATGGGGCTCTAGATTCAATCGATCCTCAGCACTACCAAAAAAATAAACTTTCTGTTTTGTACAATCCCTGCTAGGGGAAGTGGGAGAAAACTAAAAATCAGGCATTTTGCTAGAGCTGAACTTTCAAGTTAATTCCAAAGACATCTGCTGTAATGGCATGAAAGACAGCCCAGTTGGGAACTGTGAGGACTCTGATCACCCGTGGAGGCACAGTCACGGTGTAACCTTTAGTCTCTATGTATGGTGCTGCCTCCCCACCCCGCCCCTATGGAATACTGTAGAATAATGTATGACCAATAGCCGGGGCAGAATGGGAAGAATCTTCAAATATAAGGAGGGAAGTGAAATATTTCATATTTCACTGCTCTGTTATTCATTCTATCTGAGTACCTGCTACACAGAAAAAGCTTTTATGAGCAAATACCTGCTACTGTTAAAGAAGAAGTGCGATTTACCTGCTGGGGTTCTTTGAACACAAATGCTCTGTCAGTTAGCTGCTGCTCCTTGTTCCTCCAGGTCTGACCAGGGGTCTGGTGGAGATAACTCCCAGCAGTGGTACCTGAAAAGGGACCGAGAACAGCCTCAAACCAGGGAAAAGTCTGTTCTCACTGTATTCTACTGGCAAGGGTCAGTAAAACCCTCTAGGTGAGGAACTCTATCACATCTAGAGTCAATCAGTGAAGTCAAGAGGAGACTTGAACACACCCTAAGAGAGAGGTTTGAGGGTACTGACTCAGTAGAAGGAACACAAAAGACCCACCCTTCAAGCTGTCACCAAACAAATCAGACAAAACACCAGCCACGTTTTGAACAATTCCTTAACAGCAACTGAAATGGAGTTCATTATAAACCAAAAGGATAAAAGTAAGAGAGCAGAATAGCTGCCCACACCCATAAACACACACTCCCTCCCCACAGGTTCTTGCCTGGCTGAGCAGCAGCTTGCTTCTTAGCAGGGGCAGCCCAGGCACCCTGCACTCGTGCCTGCTGTCTTTTGTCTGCCATCTTGACCAAAAACCCTTCTGTCCTGGGCTCCCAGAAGATGTCATTCCTGATTCAAATCACACAATTGGTATCTATATAGGGGAGAAAAGGGTGCTTTTAGTTAAGATCTTGAGTCCGACCTGTAAGGAGTAATCATGATCCTTCTGGACAGAAGAGCTCCTATACCAAATCAATTTCTGTCATCACATTTCAATAAAGGAGCCTCAGTCACTTGGGCCTCCCAGATTATCTTCCATAAGCTCCTCATAGCACTTTGACTTCTTTCACAAAAAAGGGGGGCTGGGGAGATGGCTCAGTGGAATAAGCGCTTCCCTGGCAAGCACAAGGGTCTGAGTTTAATCCCCGGTTCTG